CATTTACTTCTACTGTGCCTAAAATTGCCTCTGAACCCCAAACTCCCTTTGTTTGTCTAGCTAGGATGAAGTTTCAATGAGACTTCTGTTTTTATTATTATTATTATTATAGTTCATCCTATTAAATGCAGTTCATTACTGTAAACTGTCAAGTTCTCGTATCCTGAGTCTGTCAGCCTCTGGGTTTTTCGTTCCACTTAAATCTCTGTTGTCTGAAATTTTGATAAGCTTTCCTACCATGTCTTCATTCAAGTTTTTGGTAAAACATAAGCATAGATCAGGGCATGCCACCAAAAATCTGTCCAGATTGTCATTGATCTATTAGTCAGCACCTTTTAGGATAAAATTTTAACAGGTTTCAAATTGTATTTTTCTATCCATGAAGATTTTACAAGGCACCTTGTCAAATGCAGAAACACCAGGTCTACAAAGCACCTGGTCTAAAAATTCCGGAACCTTATCTCTATTAACAATAACAACAACAAAAGGAAATGATACCATTTAAAAACATAATATTGATTTTTTAATGTTTACAAAGTTGCATTGATAATCCATGGTTAAGTGTTGCATAGTATTTTTGCCCAATTCACTTTTAAAAATGTCAAGATTTTTTTGAAGAGTGTTTTAGTAAAGAGCCTAAAATTCACACCTAAATCCACTTTGAATCTGGACATGCCTGAGCAGGTTTTAGAGCTAATGGGACTGGTCCACTGGATGCTTATTTGCATACAGACTTCCCAGGAGCTTTATTAAAAGGTCAGTGACTTGGTCTAATACGAGTAATATTCTGCTCCAGAATTATGACCAATAGTCATCATGAAACTGAAACCTCCCCTTGCTCACTCAACCAAGCAGTGTTTCAGGTGGGAACAGAACCCACCCCAAGGACAGAAAGAATTGAGATGCATGAATTTTGTCTGTAGGTAATAGCTGGATAGGAGGCATAATTTTCTATTATAGCAGGGTGAGTGTTACTTGAATTACCTTTTAGTTCCAAAGACAAAAGGGAGAAATTAGAGATTCCAGAGAAATACGGATTCGAGTCTTGGCTTTACTACTTAACAGCTGTGCCACATAATCTGTCTTTTTTTTGGTTGTTGTTATTTTTATTTTAGAGAGATTTTTGCTATAGGGTGCATGTGTTCTCCGAAGATAGAGAGAGAGAGAGACAGAAAGACACAGAAAGACAGAAAGTGAGAAATCAGCCCCCAATGGGGGATGGACATATCACAATCCTTTCTCCTCCTCTCTCCTGTGTGCACACACAGACGACAGCATGATTCAAGCCACCAGATCTGGGACTCGAAATTGCAGTCGGCCATGTGAGAGTCCAGCGATATAACTATTACACTACGTTCTGGTCCCAACACAAAGTCTGTTTTTAGAGAACCATTGCTATCCCTAATGAAAAATATTTTTTTGTAAATTCTAACGAATTATTTGAATAACCTTGTCTTATGACCAGAATTATCTGAGAGCTACTAGTGTACCTTTTTTTTTTTGTAAATTCTAATGAATTATTTTAATAACCTTGTCTTAAGACCAGAATTATCTGAGAGCTACTAGTGTACCTACTCTGGTTTCTTTTGACATCTTACTGCTTTGTTCTATGGAGTTTAATTGAGGTTATAGGATCAAAATGAAATCTCTGGACATTCCTTCCTTGAGTTATATCTCATTTTATATTGTTTTCTAAATTAAAAAGAAAAATAATGTTTTTTGGGGAAATCCTTTAACACATACCTGATCATATTCAGCTTTTCCTTTATTGATAGTCACTGCTACTAAGTGTCCAAAGTAGTTTTTGCCAACTAAAAGTGGTTCTTATAATCCAATCTGGGATTCCTTATTATGGAGACCAGTAACTCTGCAGGGTTGGTATGTGGGGAAGATTTTGTTTGTGATTTTGGAAAAATAGTTTTCTGCAAACAACAGAGAAAACAACAACAAGGAATAATGAGGAAATAATAATAAGGAATACTTGATTCTCCCTCCTCCACCAAACAAAATTGAGCTCCAGGGACTATGTGGCCTGATGAGAAAGCAGAGTCCAACAAAGACTACATGAGACTCAGAGTGGAGTCCAGGTAACAAATAGCAACATGGAATTGGGAAAGAGACAACCCCTTCACTTTGCTACAGTGCACTGAGGTCCTTTGAGGGACCCGTCAAGTTCTTCCCATGGAGATCTCTGCAGCTAAGGAGATCCTGGAGAAGCAGGGACAGAGGATAGGAACAGATAACCAGGGAGATACTTATCCCCATGACTAACAGTGGCACTCTGTCAGACCAATGTATATCAGTTAGGATATACTCTCATCTTGGATTCCAAACATGAGTCCCTCTGCACTTGGTATCACCCATGAGATTCCATTTACTGCATTATTCCATAAAAACACTTGATCGCTTATGTTCTAAGCATTGGAATATAGACATAACAATGGTTTAAGCATTGTATCTCATTGCTAAACAATGTTTAAACTGTGAAATAGCATGCATTTTATCTACCAATAGGGAACATTGCATATTCTATAGGAATTAGATTGATTAAAAATTTAAAGTCTTTTTAATTTTAATTAAAAATTTTTTTTCTATGAGAAAAGATAGTATTTTCCAACAAGGTGCAGTCCACACCAAGACCCAGCAAGACTCGGATCATGAGCACGCATATGCCCAGTGTACTTGGGGAGGTGGGGTTTGTGGATGTGGCCCCAGAACCTTCACATGTGGGTCACATTCACAGACAAAGGGCCACATTTTATAGCTGTGCCACTATTCAGCCCCTAGATGATTTTTTTTCCCCTCCTTTTCACTTTTTCTTTTCTTTCTCCTTTCTTTCTTTTGTAATTAGTCTTAATTCTTTTTGAAATATCAGTCTTTTGGAAAACTTGTTTTTTGTCCCAAACTGAGCTTGTATCTTGTTTGCCCATTCTTGAATCTTAAGTTTTATCTAAATGTTTATATCTCATTCTTTGATATTATCTATATAACTGGTCACTTATTTTATTTTGTTCTTTTCTTATAAAATACTAACCTTAGTGATATTAGGCAAACATTGATCATATGTCTAAGTCCTTTCACCTCTTGCCTGATTTAATGGATCCTAGAGTACCTCTTAGATTCATGTTGATGTGTGCTGGAGAGTGCCCATCATCTCTCAGCTCCATGGGTATCCTCAAACTTTCTCTTTACCACTGTAGTAAGAAGACTGCAAAACACAGTTCTGAGAATCCTTTGCCAGCTGGCATTCAACGGGGACAGGAAATGAAAGAATGGAGAAAAGAAGTCAACTTTTTTCATACCTTCAGCTTGCCCTTGTAGCAGTGTCAAGAGCAGCAGCAGCAGCAATAGTGGCAGCAGTAGCAGCAGTAACATTAGCAGTTTGGGGGAAGAATGTAGCGCCAAAGGTGTCTAATGAGTGCAGTTTCCAGAGACACCACTCAGGCTGTAGCAATGTTCCAACAGAAGCAGCCTCAGTGGCACAGTGTACATGGACTCTGGGCAAAATCATTTTCCCTTCTATCTTCCAACTGTAGCTATGATGGTAGTTTGGTGTAATTGCAGATCCTTGGATAGCTTAGCCTTCCTCATTTTACTCTTCCAGCCCATTCTTAGACTTTCATAACAGGTTCCCCCTACTTCAAGCCCTCTCTGTAAAATACCTAGATCTGTTATGATTTTTCCGATTAGGCAGAGACTAATGCAAGCTGTTCTGAATCAACTTGTGTGTGCAGCATCAGCAGATGTGGTCTGCCCTACAACACATTTCATCATGTCCTGGAACAACATTTAAGACTCGACTGACAATGTCAACTCTACCCACAGCTGTTCTTTATCTCTTGGTAAGGAATTACCAATCCCTCCGATCCAGTGAGGGGTTTTTGTGGCATTTGCAGATACTTGCTTGTGTCATGTTTATTTCCCAGAAGATCTGCATTCAAATTATTGAGGAGGGGGGAAGCAAACCTTTTTTGTTTATTGTTTCTTCTTCTTCTTTTCTCCTTCTTCTTCTTCCTTTTTCTTCTTCTTCTTCTTCTTTCAGGTTTTTGCCACAGGGTGAGTATGATTACCAGAGAGAAGAAAAGTGAAAAGTCATCTCCCAGAGGGGATGGCCACACCATAGTCCCTTTTCTTCCACTCTCCTCCTGGGATCTTGGGCAATCATGCACACATGCCTGGAATGATTTTCAAGCTGGTAGGTTTAGGACTCGAACTACAGTTGTCCACCTGGGAGTCCAGCACTTTAATCATCATGCCACCTGTTGGCCCCACCATCTTTCTTCTTTAGTATGTACAATTCACTACTTTTATACATTTGATTTTCCTTCTCCTTAGTCTCATGAAAATTTTGAATTCATGGTTTTCTTTTGATATTTCTTTTTCCATTTTCTTTAGGAACTCTTCATCTTTGCAAGTAAGTTGGCATTCAGAAGGCCAATTCTCAAGAAAAAAAGAAATCCGTAATATACATTTTCACAGAGGAAGGAGTGAGGTCAATTATGAATAATCTTATGCCATAGGATCATTATCATCATGTATCATTTCTAACTAAGATCAAATATGTAAACTATCTTACCTCCCACAAATGAGAAAAGAACATTGTCTTGAACTATGGGAGAATTCCATAGGTCTCTATAGTCAAATTCATGCCCGTACTTCTATACTTGTATATTTAGAAACTGCTCCTTCATCATCCTGAGCAATGGAGAAAGTGGTCACTGACTTCCAATTTGTGACTGATGCCTTTGTGTTTCCTCACCTTTAATAATGAGCATCTCCATCTCCACACACTTTCTTCTCCCATGTGTGCATATGATGTAGATCTGGTAAATGAACAAGCTGACACTTGGTTAGGCACAAAATTTGGGGAGGAAATGTATTAAACTGTAAAATTGAATGCTACCCAGAAGCAGAGAAAAGTGTGTAGCCAAATTTCCCCAGCTCTATTTCATCACATGATGTTGCTTGGATATCAACTTATCAACAGACTGAATTTCCTTCACTGCCACCACAGGAACAAAGAGCTCTTGTAAGAAAACTGCATTAAATGTAAATGCGAGCTTTTTGAAAAGGAGGAACGTCAATACAGGGTAAGTTCCTTTTAGGCAAATCTGACTTTTTGTTTTAGATATGTTATTTTTTAGATTCCTTTTCTCTCTGAATTCTCAAGGCATTTTAATCAAACTTTATCAGCTATAGACCACTTGCATAGGTAGGATGGATTTCTTCAGCAACAGCCCAAGAAAATCTTACTTGACTTATTGTCACAAGATACCTCATCAGTCATTTTCTTATACTATTTGAGGAGAGAGGAACTCTTTACAGCCTTGCAGAATATTTATTTTCTGCTCTACAGATCTGGAAGATAGGAGGAGGGATATCAAGACAATTTGAAAACAGGATAGAGCATAGGTTTCAATCACAGAAACTGTTAAAATGGTATATCTGGTTTGTATGGTTTCTAGAGTGCACATTGAAGGAAAGCAGTATAAATAAAATATTTGTGGTTTAATTTATAAGTTGGTATCATGAAAACAGTACACACAGAGATGCTGACTAATGTTTTCCTAAGAAACTTCCCTTCTGGAAGATCCAAGCCTTAGGTTTGTGAACTCAGAAGCAATCAGAGTCTTCAACACATATTAAGAATACTTCTTAGGCATGTGTATGTGTTTGTGTGTATGCATAAGCATACCTACGGTAGGGTGAAGAGAAAATAAACGGGTGTAGGGTAGGAATGTGCTATAGCTATGATCCCAGTCAATCTAACAGTCTGATGAGGTAGACATTGCAACTGCCATCAGTAATGAGAGTCCTGAGGTTAACAGAAGGGGAGAAACTCATCTATCGGCTTCTACAGGTGTTAAAACCTCTATTACAGATTATTTTTTCTGTTACTATGTGGCAGCATTGTTAATAATAGTTTGACATGTTTAGAGAATCTGCTATTGTATTTGATTTGTCATGTTCTTACTTTCTATCCTTTGTTAGTTTACGCTGTTGTTAAGGGTGAGGGAGAGACCAGAGGAGGAAATGTTTGAGAGTTCCACGCTGTGCCTTGGCAACCATATCCCAGTATGTCTATTTTTCCCGGTTGTTAAATGTTTTACTATTATATACACCACCTCAGACTCTAAACTCTAAACTTTCAGGAAAGGAGCCTTCATCATAGCAGGAGTGACTCCTTCATTCTGTATCTTCATCAAGAAAGTGGAAACATGACTAAGTTTAATAGTTTATTTTATAGTAATTTATTTTATAGTACAATGCTATAAAATTACAAACCTAAATGTACAAGAAATGGAGAATGATGCAAAGGTAAACTTCACTGCCTTTAAAATCACTATTTTTGAGGAATATTTATTAACCTTGGAAAGTGCATAGCATATGTATACAGTGATCTTCCTTCTCTAAATTCACACACAGTCTACTCAGAAAAAAAATTGAAAATCAATCAAATGTCAATAATTGCTATAGACAGCTTGATATAGTTCCTCTTATTTTATTTTTTAATTTTTAAAATTTTCCAAAAGGATATATATTATTTTTAGAATCCGATAATAAATGTTATTTAAAATTATCAAGAAATAATTGTTGCAGAAATAGCATCGCTCTACTATCCACCTGTTCCAAACACAGAAGCAGAAAGATAATTTTAAATTATTCTTTAATTTCATAAATAATAAATATTTCTGTATATAAGAGTAAGAATGGAAAAAGGTACAGAAGTAGTGTGATGATGTTCAATGACTTGGAAGCATGTAGAATAAATGCTCTTATTCCTTGAAATGAGTACCTTTTAAAAATTTACATATTTGCTTACTTATTTAGGTACATCCTCAAAACTGGTTGAGCAAAATAAAACTCTATGCTCTGCTTTGTTGTTCTTTGGAGGTACAGGATAAAGAATGAGAGAAAACTGGAAAAGACAAAAAATCTTTCAGAATGCTGCACGAATTCCCTGCATTCGAGTCCCTCCTTCTGTCGCTGGCACTTCCTTACTGAAGGTACAACATTTTATTCACAGATGGAGAAAACTAGTCTGTCTCTTCGTCAAGGCTCCAGAACTTTTTCTACCGTCTTCATCACCCAGCATTAGGGAGAAGAGGTGACCCCACTTAAGTACTTGATGCCTGTTGAAAGCATGCATGGGTGAACAAATGTGCAACGCTCTTAGGTGATCTACATCAGTCCCCTTTTAGGAGTTCTGGTGGGCAGCCACCTCTTCATGGCTGACCCACTGCTGTGATGGGAAACTCATCAACTGACCACACACTATGGTTCCCTGTTGTAGAGCTGTTAGCCCCTTTGGGTCACATTTAGTTTAAGTCGTTCTCATAAATATTCCTTATAAAATTTTAGCTCTTTTCCATCCCTCAAAGGAGAGGCAACAGGGGAATATTAAGAATGTTACCTCTTACTTCTCATTTCAGAAGTTTAAAGTTTTACTAAAGTAGGGCTGGCAGGTGGTATGGAGGTTAAAGCACTAGACTCTCACATGGCTAACCACAGTTCAAGTCCTGGGCTGGTGGCTTGCTTTCTCACTTTCCCTTTCTCTCTCTGGTCAAATTAAAAAATAATAATAATAATAAAATAAATAATTCTTTTTAAAAATGTTATTTTAAAAAGCTTTACTAGAGAAAAGAAATAGGCATTATTTTTTCTTTGTAAAATAAAACTACAATTTTTTTTTATCTTGCATTATGAAAATTTCCATTACATTTTGGAGTTTCATTCTTGAAGTTGGCTTGTAATTTTTATACTGTCTTGTTCTCAATCATTTGAAAAATATTAATTAGTTATTCATGAGTAGAATTCATTCTCCTCTCCACTTATATTATTCTTTAAAATATATAATTCAGAACCTGAAAACTTAAATTGTTAGGTACTTGACTTTGCTATTTTCAGACTGGATATATTCTCAGTACTGAGTTTAAGGTCTTTAGGTGTCAAAAAAAAAAATCTCAGTCACAGATTTCAGTCTCACTCATGTTCTAACAGGTAAAAGTCACCTTACTTAATTACTCATGGGTATAAACTAGTTTTAAAAATTCTATTATTAAGATTAGGAAACTGGGCCAGTAGGTGGCATGGAGGTTAAGGCAGCGGACCCTACATGGCCAACTGTGCAGTTTAAGTTCCAGACCTGGAAGTTTGAGAATCATGATTACACCAGGCACGTGTATGTGCATGTGCCCAAAATCCTAATAGGAGAATGGAGGAGAAGGGGTTGCGGCATGGCCATCCCCTCTGAAGGGTGATTTCTTATTTTTCCTTTATCTCTCTCTTTCCAGCAAATGTATGCCCACCCTATAGCAAAAACACAACTAAATAATCTTGAAGAAATTTTAAAAAGCCACAAGGTAGGACCAGCAGTTGGCATAATGGTTATGTCACTGGACTCCCATGTAATCAACTGCGATTCAAGTCCCAGACCTGGTGGCTTAAACTCATGCTGGGCATGTGTGCGTGCATGCCCAAGATCCTGAGAGGAGAATGGAGAAGAAGGGATTGCAGTGTGTGGCCATCCCCCCTTGGGGGGGGGAGGTGATTTCTCCCTTTCTGTCTCTCTGTCTCTCTTTCTGCTGAGCACATGTGGCTTATAGCAAAAACCTCTTGGGAACCAGCAGTTAGCGTAATGGCTATGTCGCTGGACTCCCACGTAGTCGACCGCGGGTCGTGTCCCGGACCCGGTGGCTTAAAACTCATGCCGGGCGCGTGTGCGTGCGTGCCCACGATCCCGAGAGGAGAATGGAGGAGAAGGGATTGCGGCGTGACCATCCCCCCTGGGGGGTGATTTCTCGCTTTCTGTCTCTATGTCTCTCTCTGTCTGTCTGGCGAGCGCACGCGCCCTACAGTGAAAATCTCCCCCCCCCAAAAAAAAAACAAAAACAAAAACAAAAAACAAAAAACCTCTTAAGAAAAAAAAAGCCACAAGGATCCAAATTAGAACTGTAAGATAGATACTTAATGATTTTTCTTCAAAACTTCCACAATACTGCCCTTATTTAATGAGAGGAATGAGTGGAAGCATTGCCTTGATGAAGAAAGACTCTGGTGAATCTTTCCTGGTGTTTTTTTCTGTGAAAGTTTTGGCTAACTTTCTCAAAACACTCCCTCAAACACTCAAACACTCTGTTAGAAGCAGATGTTATTATTCTTTGTTCCTATCCCAGAAAGTTGTTAAGCAAAATGCCTTGACATTCCCAAAAAATGATTGCCATGATCTGTACTATTTATCTGTCTGCTTTTGCTTTGACTGGATCACTTCTACTTCTGGGTAGCCATTGCTTTTATTGTACGTTACCCTTAATGTAAGTTACCTTTAATGTAGCATCTCCTATTAAAATTCTTCCCATAATTCAAAATCTCAATCCCACTTGTTTAAAATTTTCACCGAGGGCTCAGTTCTTGTCTGCAATGGATCCAGGCACAGCAGCTTTGGCACCTATCAACCAAAAAGTTTGCTCAACTTTGATTTTCAGTCAGAATTGTGTAAACTAATGTCTCTAGTTCTGGCTGTGGTTTCTGTCATGAATTGTTGGTCCTCTTCAGTTAGGGTACAAACCATATTAATTTTTTTTCACTAATAGATGTGGATGGTCTACCACTGCTGGTGTCATCTTCAGATCATCTCATCTCTTTTCAAATGGAGTTGTCCATCTGTAAATTGCTGATTTCTCTGGGGATTTTGTCTCCATAAACTTTTCATAAAGCATCAAGTATTTCCCTATTCTTCCACCCAAGTTTCTCCATAAATTTGATATTTGTTTTCCATCGATTTTAGCAGAATTCATGTTGTTCTGGTAGGAACTTTTTTCAGACTGATGTCTTATCCTTCTTAGTGTCCCAGACCAGATCCTACTCAGACATGTTATAACAAGTTAGTACAAGTTTATTTTAGTGCAAAATAAATTTGAAACCCATGTAAGTTATTTTTTATAATACATATTTTTCGCAAACTTTTTGAAGACCTCTTCTATGTTTAGCAAAAGAATGATCTTATTTCTGGGAAAGCTAATATTGAATAAAACACACTTTAACCATGTAGAGCTCCATAGATTCATCAAAATCACCTGTTCTGCTCTGACAGGACCTAACCCTAGGACAGCAGCGCTACTTTTACAGCACCATGAGAATTTACAACTCTGGGCCCCTATGGGAGGCCCTGAAGACCCGTTATATTCACAACCTTCAGTACCAGCAGCTGCTCGGTGAGTGTAACTACATCAACCAGACACTTCAGGAAGGAACTTGTGTTTTGGAAGTCAAGTTTCTAGATGAGAAGTTCAAGTAGAATGGCATCTGTGAGTGTGTTGTTTCATCAACATGGCTGGCTAGCCAAGTTTGAAAGTGATTTTTCCTGGTAATAGAAGCAAGAGTTTGTGGGTAAATTAAGAAAGTTGAAAGAAATTAGAGTATGGATTGTTATCAAATGTTAACAACTCTGAGATTTACGGGAACTTGATCTAGGAGATTGTTGTCCCTAGGCTTCGAAAGCCAGCCTTAGCTCGAACCACTGCTCAGCTCCTTGCTATTATGCAAACTTGGAGCTCGGTTTGATCAGAAAAGTAAGAGTTATATTTATTGAGCATTTGCCATGCTCCAGACATTATATTAAGAGCTTAATAGGCAACATCTCATTTTCTTCCCACTTTATGATTGTGGAAAACATGAGCTTAGGCAGGTAAGTGACATGATCAAGATAAGGTAGAGAGTAAATGTCAGTTAGGATTTTGTGTGAGAGCTATCATTTCCAAAGACCCCAAATTTTCACAACCTTGTTCTATTGGCTCTCCTCTCCTACCAACCTCTTCATAGTTTAAAAAACATCAATCAAATAAAGGTCATAAAGACCATCATACATTATATGCACCAATATACTGAAAGACATAATTGTCCTATAAAAACGTTTATTTTCTTACAGGAAATATTTTCCATTGCCAGCCCCTCTCTAATACAGTTTTTCTAAACATAAATAGAGTATTTTTTAAAAAATAATCCACTCACTTGGCTTTAATACATCTTCCATCTAGTGTTGTTTCTTTATTTACACAAACAAAGATGTGCTTTTTTGCAAATGATTTAACAAAAATAACAGGAGTTATTTTTTTATTGAGGACTTCCTACCCAGCAGGCACTATTCTAAAACTTTGCATGTATTGTTTTTATTTAAATCACATATATCTCTATGTGGTAACTGCCCTTATAACCTACATTTTGCAAAAAAAGAAAATTGAAACATGGATATGTTAAATAAGTTGACCAGGGTCTTGAAACTAGGAAGGAAAGAATCCAATATTTAATCTGGTGTCTGTAATTATCTGGTGTTCCAGAAACATCATCTAATACCTCTGTTTTTAGAACAAAATTATCCAGAAGCTAATGAATTTAGAGGCAGAGTTATTCAATTTTTAGTGTGCATAAAAGTGACCTGTTACCTTATTAAAAAGAAGATTTCCAGGCCTAATCCCATGAGTTTCTGATTCAGAAGGACTTTGGGATAGTGTCAGAAACCTGTATTTTTAATAAGCACTTTCAGAAAATATAGGGCCTCAGCCAGATGATTCCCTAGTTGGAAGTCTGCAGACTACACTGAAAAATATCAAATGTATCTTTCTGGTTTAAAGAAAGCTTTTAAATTAAAGATAAGTAATTCAAGCAAAAATTTCTCATGGGTCAAGTTCTTTCCCAAATGATTTGACATGTTAATCACGACTAAGTATTAACTTATTGAATGAGGAGCACAAACAAGAAAAAGATTTGTATAAGCTTCTGGTCCTCAAAGATTATGTAATATGGGTAAGGCTAACCACAAAGTAAAACATATTTATATTCATGTACATATGTGAATATTTGAAGTTTTGTTTGCTTATTTGTCTTGTAAAATTGTTGACATTGAAGTTTTTCTCATCTTTCTCCTAGGATATATTACTCAACAGGAAGCTTTATCTTGGGCTATTTTAGTTAGAGATTCAACCAAGAGAGCCTCAGCCAAGGTAGCTGCTCAAAGAACCATTCCCCGGAAGTCTTCAGTCATGACAAGAAAATGTCTGTCAGCTCTACCCATGTCTGTGGTTCTGCCCAAGGTCCAAAGCACAAGGTGTGGTCAAAGGCAGACTTCACGCAATCTCCGAGATAGCCCATGTATCCCCGCTATCTATGAGTGATTAGAGCACATGTGTTGAATGATAGTAAATAAATGGATAACTTCTAAACAAACCCTATATCTAGAAATAATCTATCTCTCTTTTTGTCAATAAATTTTAAAGTCACTTTACTCTATAGATTATATCTGGAAAAGCTTGCTTTGAATTAAAGCATTTAAGAGAAATCCTAAAAGTAATAAAGAAGGACAGTGACCAGAGGGTGCCAGGTTCTCAATTACTCGGGGACCATCCCTGCAAGGCACTCATTGTACATAATGAAAATACGTAAATCAACACGGAAATAACAGATCATGGAGGACTCCATGTCATCTCAGCAATTGTCCTGTGCATTTCCTTCCTTTCCTCTTCATCAAGCTGTAACATTCAACTCGTCTCAGAAGCTTCAGGTTTTCACTTAGATTGATCATTTTGTGTCATCTTGAAATTTGTATTTATCAGCCTGCCATAGCTAGATTGATTCTACACAGCTATAATTGGTCTTGACATGAGTTAGAAAATTTATGCACACACTTCCCCTTGGACATTGAAGAAACACTCTAAGCACAATGTGAAATAGCTCCAAATAATTAACTTAAAGTCCAACCACTTCATGGCCACCAAGGTTTTAAGTAAGGCACATAAAAGTATACGAATAAGCAAAAAATGTGATAAGAGTGAGTCAGATTATTGTATAAATGGTATATTGTTTTATATTTACTGTATTTATTAGTTATTTTCATTGTCAGTGACTTTTGTGTGTTGTTAAAAATTAGTCACATATTGGGAACCAGCAGTTAGCATAATGGCTATGTCGCTGGACTCCCACGTAGTCGACTGCGGTTCGTGTCCCAGACCTGGTAGCTTAAAACTCACGCCGGGCGCGTGTGCATGTGTGCCCAAGATCCCGAGAGGAGAATGGAGGAGAAGGGATTGCGGCGTGACCATCCCCCCTGGGGGGTGATTTCTCGCTTTCTGTCTCTATGTCTCTCTCTGTCTGTCTGGCGAGCACACGCGCCCTACAGTGAAAATCTCTCAAAAAAAAAAATTAGTCACATATTCACATGAAGTCAGTGGTCACACAAATTCAGAATAATAATACCCTTCTTTTTTTCTTTTTTCAATGTTTCACTTCATTCAAGTCAACCAATGGATGCCATACCCACAAAAAGAAGCTACTTAGCTTAGAATAGAGTCTTACTTGACAGGTATATATAACATTGGTTTAACACAAATGCTACCAGGCAAAAAAAAAAAGGTCATAGATGATTATCTTCTCCCTATAACCATTAACATCTAAGAAATAAAAGTCGTCATGACAGTCTGAAATAAACTAGTAGTAGTATTGAGATCCTCTTTTATTTTTCTTTGGGAAGTTATAAGGTATATGGCTGTCTCACTAGTCCAGTGGGAAGTCTTGGGGAAGCCAATATTAATTTCCCTGAGGTCATTCACTTAATTGTAAAAAGGCCTTTAGGGACCAGCAGTTGGCATAATGGCTATGTCGCTGGACTCTTATGTAGTCGACTGCGGTTCGAGTCCCGGAACTGGTGGCTTAACTCACACCAGGCACGTGTGCATGCGTGACCAAGATCCCAAGAGGAGAATGGAGGAGAAGGGA